CTGAGTACTGTCCCTTACCTTTTCCACTCTACCACTTGAGCCACACCTCCACTTCTGGCTTTGGGGTGATTAATTGGATATAAGAATCTCATTGCTGGGCACTGGTGGCTCATGCCTGTAATCCTAGCTACTCCGGAGGCTGATATCTGAGGATCATGGTTTAAAGCCAGCCCAGACAGGAAAGTCCATGAGACTCTGATCTCCAATAAACCACTCAGAAAACTGGAAGTGGCACTGTCAAGTGGTAGAGCACAAGCCTTGAGCTGAAGAGCTGAGAGACAGCACCCAGGCCCCAACAACAACAAAAATAATATGAAGAATCTCATGGACCTTCCTGCCCAGGCTGGCTTTGAACCTTGCTCCTCACATCTTAGCCTTCTGAGTAGCTAGGATTATAAGCATGGAAAGAGAGCTCTAAAAACAATGGCTATATAGAAGCCGGGAGCTGCCATTGTTTTTAGAGGTCTCTCCCTCATGTCCGGCACCTGGCTTCCATTGTTTTTGGAGTTCTCTTTTTGCCTCTTGTGGGGCCATCAGGGTAGAAATGGATTGTGGGAATGAAGAGACAGAGACAAAATCAATAACGAATCTCAGAGTATATGAACAAGGTTTTGGGGGTTGTTTGTCCTCAGTTTATCTCCCTATTGAAGCTTTTCACTGTTTCCACTAGGTCAGGCAATTGGAAAACTGCTTCCCCTTTAAATCTCTAGCCCTGGATGAACAAAAACCTCTTTCTTCCTCTTAGCACAGTGGATCAGACCAGCATTTTAAAATGTCCCCAAACCACAACAGAACAGCAACAACAAACATGTCCTAATTACAGAAAACAGAAAAACAGCTTTACAAAGAGAATGCCTATCCCCCAAATCATAGTGTGAGGGCACACACTAATTTCTGTTTTATGAAGGCTGATACAACTTTTGAGCATTTGACCAGTTGTGTTTCTGTCTAGTTCTGTATTGGTTTCTACCCCATGACAGCTACTTTGAGGGACTCAATGACCGCCAGTTCTGATCTCAGCTTCTCATGCCCCTTGTGACTGCTGCTTCACTTCTGATTTATAAGTCATGTGGTCTCTACCACTAATTGGCACTCTTACTTTAATTACCAGACAGTCATCTTACTCTGCAGGTGAGACTCCTCCTACTTCAGGTGTGGCCATGGCTGGCAAGCACATAGACTAATACCCCCTGACACACCCCAGAGGGTCAAGCATTATGGTAAAGGTCACCACTCCTATATTTTATGGAGAGGAAGATTCCTGGGCAGGAAGACAATGAAGAATTTTCCCAATGAACTCCCTATACAGACAATCAGAAAAGAAGATCAATTACCATTTGGAAGGAATGATTGTTGAAATGCCATGCAAGACTCAAAGAACTTTCTTCATGTATTCTAAGACAGGGAAAGCAAAAAGGACTCTGGGCCCCTTTGTAAATTTACAATATTGACATTACACTGAAATGAGGTTAATCATGTAGTCATTGTATACTTTTCTGTAGGAAGTAGTCAGGTGTTCAGTGTTAACATTTATAGTACACATTTTTTTGTTTTTAATTGTTAAATTATTATTATCAAGGCAATATACAGAGGGGTTACAGTTACCTTAGTCAGGCAAAGAGTTTATATATTTTTGGATAATGCCACCCTTCCCTCACTCTCTCCCAGGTTTTCTCACCTGTCCCCACCCACGAGTTCTATGTCTAGTGAGTTCCATTGTCGTCTTATTCACGCTTTGTCCCTCCATTTCTGTGTCCCCCTCTGACCTTCCCAAAGACAGATAAATGAACAAACAAGACACAAAGGAAAAGAAAAAACAACAAGGAAAAAAACACTTGTTTCCATTTCCTGGAGTTCATCCACAGTTTTTATAACCCTGTGTGGCTCCAATTGCTACTGCTATAGATTCTTACTCTTTTATAGACTTAGACTGCCTGTCCCATCAAAAAGAGCCAGGCATTGGTGGCTCATGCGTGTAATTCTAGACACCTGGAGGCTGAGATCTGGAGAATTGAAGTTTGAGGCCAGCCTGGGCAGAAAAATACATGATACCACCTCCCCCACTTCCCAAATAATCAGCAAAAAGCCATACTGGAGGCTTGACTCAAGTAATAAGAGTGCCAACCTAGCAAACAAATTGAGTAAGCATGTGTTCCTAAATTTAGATAGACTCCAGTACTTCAAAAAAAAAAAAGAAAGGAAGGAAGGAAGAAAGAAAGAAAGCAAAAGAAAAGTAGAATCTCTCTCCTCCCCTTCAAGCTTGGCCGTACTCATGACCCACCCTGGCCAGTAGAATGTAAGGAGGCTGATATGCTTCTGGTACTGCACCAGTTCCAAGGTTGGACCTTGATGGGCTAGCAGTCTTTTTCCTTTGCCTTGTTGAGCTCCAGCTGCCACATTAGGAGCACAGATTAGACCAGTGTATCTGACAGACTGCATGGTGAAGACCCTGGAGAATGAGAGACCCTCATAGATATCACAGCCTCAGCCAAATTCCCAGGGGACAGAGGTGACAGCCATCCTGGCTGAGCTCTGTCCACATTACAGGATGAGTGATAGAATGCTATAGATTAAGCTACTAACTTTGGGATGGTTTGTTACAGCTAACCAGACAGATAACAAGAGATACATTTTAAAATTTATTCCTTTGATATCTAAATAACCAATGCAAGTGGCACTTGGCCTTGCTTAGTAATTGTGGTACTGAGATTGAATTCAAGATCTTAGCTGGTGCTTTATGAAGCACAGCTCCAGTTCTGCCTTTTTGCTGGTTAATTGGATATAAGTAGTTCACAGTTTTGTCTGCCAGAGCTGGCTCTGAATCCTGATCCTCAGATCTCAGCCTCCTAAGAGGCTAGAATGATAGGTATGAGCCATCATTACCTAGCTCTTGCTTAGGCTTTTGTAAATCTGATTCCAAGATGTCTCAAAAATCATGGATTTTCTTCTTACTATTTGAAGATGATCTATAAAATGTATCATCATGCCTTAGTGAATGACATATGTTATTTGTAAATGTTTATAGAGGAAACATCCTTGAGCAATGCAGAAATCCACTAAAAAAAATAGACTGGAGTGGGAGCATAGCTCAAGTGGTAAGGTACTGCCTAGCAAGTGCCAGGCCCTGAATTCAAACCCTAGTACCATATATATATATGGTTTGAATTCATATATATATATATAGATAGATAGATAGATAGATAGATAGATAGATAGATATATCTATATCTATCTATCTATATATATATATAATGTGGGTCATGGAGCTTGAACTCTGGGCCTGGGTGCTGTCCCTCAGCTCTTCAGCTCAAGGCTAGAGCTCTACCACTTGAGCTACAGTGCCACTTCTGGTTTTCTGAGTGGTTTATTGGAAATAGGAGTCTCACAGACTTTCCTGCTTGGGCTGGCTTTGAACCGTGATCCTCAGATCTCAGCCCCCTGAGCAGCTAGGATTACAGGCGTGAGCCACTGGCACCTGGCCCCCAGTACCATATACTTACAATACTAGAGTTTGAACTCAGGGCCTGGCGCTTCCTTAGCAGACATTCTACCACTTGAACCACCGTGTAGCTCGTTGATAGAGTTTTACCTTTTTTCCCCCAAGCCAGCCTGGACTACAATCCTCCTATGCACATTTCCCAATATAGCTGAGATAACAGACAAGAACTACCACACCCAGAATTTTCTATTAAGATGTCTTTCAACATTTTCCTCAGGCTATCCTCAGAAGCAATCCTGATTTCATCCTCCCTAGCAGTAAGGATTATAGGCATGAGTCACTAAACCCAGTTTAAATAGCAGTTTTTATGCAGACAGATTAGAATTCCCCAGAGTAATTTATTTGCCATTTATATTCTACTACATGCACCCCATGCCAGAGCAGAGACAATCTTATGAGATTGTCCACAAAATACCCTTTTGCCTTATCCAATTAACAAATTCTCATGGCTTTCCATGAGAACTTTTGTACTGTAAGCAAAAGTAGTCTTTTTTAGTTTGTTTTTCTTTTTATTTTGTTAGAGGTTATGAGAAAATCCTCTTTAAATCCTCTTTTCTTTCCTTTTCTTTTTATTCTTCCTTTTTTTTTTTTTTTGGGTCCGATAGTGGGACCTGAACTCTGGGCCTGAGTGCTGTCCCTCAGCTCTTCAGCTCAATGCTAGCGCTCTACCACTTGAGCCACAGCACCACTGCCGGCTTTTTTCTTTTTGCTTATGTGGTGCTGAGGAATCGAACCCAGGGCCTCAGGCATGCAAGGCAAGCGCTCTACCACTGAGCCACCTTCCCAGCCCTCTTTTTATTCTTCCTGTAATGTTGTAGACTATTTGGTTATTCCGTTATTGGTTTCACACTGTAGCCTGGGCTGGGCTTAAGTTATAGTCCTCCAGCCTGAGCCTCCTGAGATTACAGACATGTGCCGCCATGACTAGGTATATATAGACTTTTATAAAACACAAAAACCAGGAAGAAAGAAACCAAGTGTTTTATTTTCTCCCCTTGAAATCATAAGCAAAGAGTCTTTCCTACCCCCTCCCTAAGCACCAGGGATCAAATCCAGGCCCTTATGCATGTCAGGCAAGTATCTGCCTACTAAGCTATGAACCCAGCCCATGTGGTATCCTCCAATAAATTGAATGTGGTAGACTATTTGGGGAGTGGGGTGGAGACAGGAGATGGAGGCAGAGGAGCAAAATGAGAGCAGAAGCCAGATATGGTAGCAAATGTTTATAATCCCAGGTTCTGGGAGGCTGTGACCACAGGATCATGAGTTTGTGTCCAGCTTGGGGTAAATAGTGAACTCTATCTCAAAAAGAAAACAAGGGTTGGGGGTACACTCAGTATTAGGGTACTTACCTGATGGGTGTAGGGATAACTGGGGGGAAAAAAGTTTGCCAAGAAGTAGCATTGTGACAATTACGAAAATGCAAATGGAAGGATAAAACCAATTAAACCAAAGAAAACGTTCTTAAAGTCCTCAGATTAAAAGGGCTGCCTTGAAATACGGAGGTCCAGGAAAGCAGCGTATTTTGAAACTCAATCTGGTGGTTTCTGTCGTTGGTATTGCCTTGTTTATTTGCAAAGGAACCTGTTATTTGGCGATTCGAGCGATTTGAAACAAGGGTGGTGAGTGTTACACGCCCTTTCCTAAGGGAATCATCAAGAGTGGAAGGTCCCCCTTTGATCTTCAAACGTACAGTAGGCACAGGATTGTTTCTTAAAGATTTTGTTGACCTCAGGTTTTATAGAAATATAGTTCTAGAGTCACCAATCCTGAATCGACTCCTATAAATTAATGCCTACTCAAATTTCCCTTATGTTTATGTTTTCACTTGGTAAAAGTCCAATTTTATTTATTTTATTTTATTTTATTTTGGGTCCGGTCTAGGGGCCTGAACTCTAGGTTTGGGCGCTGTCCCTCAGCTCTTCAGCTCAAGGCTAGCGCTTTACCACTTGAGCCACCTTCCCAGCCCAAAAGTCAAATTTTATTTAAATTTATACATTCATCTTGGAATCAAAATGTCATGAGAATTTATTACATGTAAAGTCATCAAGAACAACCATTTTCTCCAGTCTGAAGTATCTGCATGCTAACTGGTTATTGTCAACTTGTAATAGTTTGGGTTTTTGTTGTTACTGTTTGTAGCATTAACGTGTGTGCTGGTCCTGGCATTTGAACTCATGGCCTCGTCACTTTCCCTGAGCTTCTTTGCTCAAGGCTAGTGCTTTACCACTTGAGCCACAGCTCCACTTCTTGCTTTTTCTTGGTGATTCATTGGAAATAATCTCACAGACTTCCCTGCCTACATTGGCTTTGAACCTCAATCCTCAGATCTCAGCCTCGTGGAGCAGCTAGGATTGCAGGTGTGAGCCACCAGCACCCAACTAATGCATTTAGTTAAAAAAAGAAAATGTTCTGTATGAACCATCTGTTTCCACATTTCAGGGCAAGTTGTGGCTGGCAATGGCTCACTCTAGGTGACATGGCACACAGGAGGGCCAGGCTGTGATGTGTTGTGAGAGCAAACACTTCTGCCTGCCCAGACTTGATGCAGGACTAGAATGGTGAGCCAGGAATGAGCTGTCAGGGCAGTGGCTTAAAGCATAATTTCCATGGTCTAACATGAAACCAGTTCTCCATGGAAATAGTTTTTTGATGATACTTTTAGCAGCAAATGGAATTTGGGCTGTGTGTAAGTTGCCATTCAACTCAGAGAGGGAAAGCCAGCCTATTACCAAATGTCAGAGCTTTCTGATCTCCTATGTATTGTGAAATCAGCTGAAAAACCAGCACAGGAGTTCTGTTATTCCCAAATGAGTCATTGTATCAGTAGAAGTTATTGAGAAATAGAAGCCAAGTGCACTCAATATCTCCCTTTAGGGGGGGCAGGAGAGCTGATGTGTAAAGAGGAAAGGCTTGCCAGTCAAGACGGGCCTTGTCAGCCCCAAGCAGTGGGAAGGGAGTATTTGGGCAGATGGTAGGATGGGGCCTATGAAACAAAACAAAACCCAAGGACTGGGAAGGTGGCTCAGTGGTAGAGTGCTTGCCTTGCATGCATGAGGCCCTGGGTTCCATTCCTCAGCACCACATAAGCAGAAAAAGATGGAAGTGGTGCTGTGGCTCAAGTGGTCGAGTACTAGCCTTAAGCTGAAGAGCTCAGGAACAGCACCCAGGCCCATAGTCCAGCACCCACAACCGACCAAAAAAAATGATCAAAACAAAACCCAAGAAATGGAAACATTATTTTTGTTGTTGTTGCTTTTGATTTTTTGTGGGGGGAGGGAAAGAGGGCCAAAGGGAAATGGAGAGAAGAAGGGTGAACAAATGCAGTCGTGCAATTCAGGATACACTATATGGAAAAATCAACTTTGCAGGGAAGGAAGAGGGAAACGAAGAAAGCGAAGGAAGGGATGACATTGTCAAAAAGAGTGGTTCTCATTACCTGACTTATGAATGGTAACCCCTCTGTACATCTTAATCATAACAATACAATCATATTTTAGAAAATAAAACAAAAAAGCAACCTAGGGCTGGGAAGGTGGCTCAGTGGTAGGGCGCTTGCCTTGCATGCATGAGACCCTGGGTTCGATTCCTCAGCACCACATAAGCAGAAAAAAAAAGCCGGAAGTGGCACTGTGGCTCAAGTAGTAGAGCATTTGCCTTGAGCTGAAGAGCTGAGGGACAGTGCCCAGGACCAGAGTTCAGGCCCCATGACCCAAAAAACCAAAACAACAACAACAAAAACTAAAGAAAGGCTTGTTTTGGTTCATGGTTTCAATCATGGTTGGCTGGCTCCATTGTTTCTGGGCAGTGGGGAGGCAGAGTGTCATGGTGTAAGATGAGCAAAGTTGCTTACCTCCTGGTGGTCAGGAAGCAGAGTGAGACAGGAAGGGGCTGAGGACAGGATGATCTGCTTCAAAGACCCTTCTCTGCCCTCAAGTGAGGGCCTTCTTCCAACCAGGTTCCCAACTCATCAACAGATCAGAAAGCCCAGGGTCTCCTCACTTCTCCATAACACCACCACAGGGGACAAGCCTCGAAAACACATGAGCCTTTGAAGTGACACTTTCTATCCATATGATATTAGTTATAGATAATATGGATTATAGACAGATTATAGACAGATTATAGATAGATAGTATTAGATTATAGAAAAGGTTAAAAGAAAACCCACATCTCTAGTCAAGTTCTGGTGCTCACACCTGTAACCCTAAACACTCAGAAGGCTGGGATCTGAGGATCAAAGTTTGAAACCAAACCCAAGCAAGAATGTCTGTGAGAGTCTTAAATCCAATTAACCACCAAAAAAGCAAAAAGTGGAGGTGTGGTTCAAGTGATAGAGCACTAGTTTTGATCACAAGAGCTGGAGAACATTGCCCAGATGGAGAGTACAAGCCCCAGTATTGGCACTGAGCTAGGTCTCTTTCCTTGATTGTATCAGGGAAAATTATTATTTTTTGGGGGAGGGTCTGGTCATGGGGCCTGAACTCTGGGCCTGGGTGCTGTCCCTCAGCTCTTCAGCTTAAGGCTAGTGCTCTACCACTTGAGCCACAGCGCTACTTCTGCCTTTTTTTTTTTTGCTTATGTGGTGCTGAGGAATCGAACCCAGGGCCTCATGCATGCAAGGCAAGCACTCTACCACTGAGCCACCTTCCCAGCCCCCAAAATTATTATTGTTTCTTGATTTCTATTTACTCTTCAAGTGAACACCTTGTTTCTCTGGACCCTGTCTTCAGCTTGCTCCATAGCATCTAACACAGCATGATGCTGAATGTTCTATGCCACTCCATCTGGGTGAATTTGACAGTGCTTTAGAGGCGGGAGTGGAATTCGAGGGAAAGGCCAGCAGGTGGACTTGGGAGAACATCAAAAAACAACAGGTTCATGCACACCATGAGAAGCTTTAGAACCCATAAACTTGTCATACCTTCCTAACTTCTTTTTATTGATCATTGCATCTCAGGATGCTTGGTTGTAGATCATTCATTGCCAAGACTTTACAGCATGATGCGATTATTGTTACTGATGGGTGCGTAGGCCCAGATGTTCCTCATTCTTTGGGTACATCTAAGAACAGGATGCTGCTCCAGGTATAGCAAAGATCCTACAAAGAGTAGGAAGACAGCAAGAATGACTTATTAGCAAAGCGGAAGTATACCTTGAGATATGTGGTGGGCAGTTTGGGTAAGGCCAAAGCCTCAAGCAGCTGGGGATTGGGGTTATATGATCCAATAGGGTCATACTACTAGTATTGAGAATCAGAATCTTCTGCCCCTTGGTGGCTTCTCTTTTAATGGCTTGATGACTGCACCGTGGCAGGCTGAGTATAAGGAGTCTTTTGCCTGTGTTTTTGAGAAAGTACCTGCACATTGGATCCTCTTGGACTTTCAGAGGCAAACATAGAGATGATGTCATCATCCTCAAGGCCTAAGCCTGACCCTGATCTAGGGAATGAGATCCTTGAAAGTCCATAGGCCTAGGGTGTGACCAATTATGGTTTTGGGGAATGGAATCTTGTCCCTCATGGCATTTCCTTATTCCTATTCTCACCTTATCTTTCTGCTCCAGCTAACTTAAGGTAAAAAAAAAAAAAGTGCTGCACAAGGTGAAAGCAATCAAGGAGACACAGACTGGGTACCAAGGTTCACACTTGCAATCCCAGATACTCTGGAAGACAGAGGCTCAAGGCCAGTCCCAGGAACAAAGCTGGGATTGGTGGCATGCCGGTGACCCCAGCAATGCTAAAGCTAGTAGAAAGGAGAATCATGGTTAGAGGCTTGCTCCAGACTAAACCTAATGAGCCTGGCGGGGGGGGGGGGGGGGGGGGGAGGAGGGGGAGTGGCGGGGGGGGGGGGGGGGGAAGGGGGAACACATAAAGGGAAAAACTAGGGAGATGGAAAGAAACAGAGCCTGCGGATAAAACATGGCTTCTCTTCCTGAAGGGTCTGCAAAGTTGAGGAAAGTTCTAAAAAAGACAATGCTCCTGATGACCCTGGAGCAGACCTGGGCAGGTGACAGATGCCATTCCCCTTGGGGTGAGGTAGACAATGACTGAACCAGATGCAAGAATTTGGGGAGGGGAAGGGAAATAACAAAATGCTGAAATAATGATAGAGGTTGACCCATGGTAACAATGAGATGTACAAGACACTATGTTAAAAATGAACTTTACAACTTGGGTGGGGTGAGTTGGGGAGGTGGGAAGGGAAGAGATGGTAGGGGAAAAACAAGGAGGTAACAATACTGTATAGGAAATGCACACATTACCTTACTCATGTAGCTGTAACCTCTCTGTACAGTATCTTTACAATAAATATATATATATAGAGAGAGAGAGAGAGCAGCTGATAAGATGTGAAGATTAAGGTTCAAGGCCAGCTTGGGCAAGAAAGCTGTGAGACTCTTAACTCTGGTAATCCCACCCCTCCCCACCGCCCCCCCCCACATCCAGAAGTGGAGCTGTGGCTCCAATGATAATGCAAAAACGAAGCTCAGAGACAACGTGGGCCCCGAATTCAAGCCTCAGGATTGGCACTTACACACATACACACACACACTAAATAAATGAAAGAAAAGAAAATGGAAAGATCTGGCAAAACAACAACAACAACAAAACCCACAGGACTTCTATCTTGGGTAGAAATCTGACCACCTAGGAAAACATACTAGTGAAGCGTTGGCCCTGCCCACACACTTTCATGGGTTTGGGGACAATAGCTGTTTCCAAGGAAAACAGAACTCTGTACAAAAGTGTGAACTAAGGTGTAGTATATTCAAGAGAGGGTTCCAATGTGTAACTCCTTTGAACAACTGAATAGCATGACAAGGGTGGAAGGGTGAAGTCAAGGGAAGGGGGTTGGAACAAGGAAGAGAGGAAGGATGGGCGGATGCAGTCATGGTAGTCAATGTGAATGTGTGTGTGAAATGGAACTAGATAAATTGAGGCAATGTGGGGGGGGAGGTTGGGAAAGAGCTGAGAAGAATGATGAAAGGGGTGACATTTAACAATGTTACATTATACCCATAACCTAAGCTGTGGAATTAAAATCCATTTGTACATCGACTAAATGAAATAATAATAAAGATTATGATGCATTGTACTCATAAATAATAAAAAAAAAGAACAGCTGAAATTCGGCCAAGCTATAAAAAATGAGCACACCTTCCCTTCCTTCCCTCCCCTCCCCCAACCCAGGAGCCTAAAGGACATCAGCAAACCAGTTAGACAGCTTGCCCCTCCCCCACCAGTGGCTACCACCCAGGGGAGTGTCTTGGGTCTTGCCACAATCCAGGCTAGCCCTGCTCCAAGCCACCACAAAGGGGGAGGGCCTTAGGTCCTGCCATGTCTCTTTCTTGGACCACCACTCAGGAGAGGGTCTGGCCTGTTTCACACAAACCAATCCTGAGCCCAGGCTAGCCTATCATCATGTGGCCACTGCACTGGAGAAGGTCCAGCCTGCTTCAAACCTCTCAATCATAATCTGACAGATTGCCTGAAGGGAGGAAAGAAAGCAGAGAGGAGAAAGAGGGGCAACATATAGCAACAGCCCAGGACCCCAAGGAAGACAGCTGGTTTTCAGGTCATTCTTCGGAGTAGCTTTTACTTTGTCTTTGCTAAATAAACTCTTTAAGAACAGGAATAAAAACAAAAATTAAAAAAGACAAAAAATGTTGGGAGCCAAGCAAGTGTATGGAAAGATAAGATTCCTCCAGCCCTAAACAAACTACATTTGGTTAACCATAAATATTCCTCCAGCCCTAAGCAGACAACATTTGACTAACCATAAACATTTCTCTTATCTCCAGCCTTAAGCAAGCGGCGCCTGGCTAACCATAAATGTCTCTTAGAGAAACTACAGGAGGTACCTTTAAGATTAGCACAACGGCCAAAGGAAAAGCGACCCATCCCTGACCCTGGGACTTCTCACCCTTGCTTCTGCAAGTTTTTTTCATTCTTCCCCTTCCCACCGCCCCTGTGGGTATAAAAACCCTACCCCGAGCTCAATAAAGCAGACCTTGAGGCGACTCAGACTGACTTTGTCTTCCTTTATGCGCTTGGTCTCTTTTCTCTCTCGCCCCCATTGGTTTTTAGGAGGCACCTCCTCGAGCCTAACGAATAACTGAACCTGCTGGACGGGTCAAAAAAATACTCTAAAAATACCAGGACTGATGGTATTATTTTGATACTACTGGAGAACAAGAATCCACCATGTTCTCATCTTGTGCATCCAGCCCACAGCGAGATATTGATTTCCAGGCCCCACCTTTTCTTCTTGTGATTTGAGAAGTCTGTATTTTCCTTTCTCTTCTTCCTCCTTGCCCTGGAAACAGGTGGACAACCTCTTATGGCCTAGAGCAGGCCTGGCCAACCTGGAGTCCACGTTGAGGGCTTGTTCCAACCCACCTGGAGCTCAGAGGCTCTCCTGATTAGTTCTCCTGAGAGTGTTGTCATAAAGAGCAAACCTGAGCCAGAGTGCTCTGGCTTGCTGGCTTGCTGTGGTTGCTCTCCCTCTCACGTGTGCTCTCGCGGTGCTGTCTACCATTAGGACCTTGGACTCTTCAGTCCCCCAGCATTGTGAGCCAAAGAAACTTCTTTATAAAATATTCAGCCTTTAGTATTTTAATAAGGAATCCAAAAGGAAGAGCCTGAGAGTCTGAATTAATGCCATTATCGACTAGAGTCATGGAGGGTTGGATTGTGTGTGTGTGTGTGTGTGTGTGTGTGTGTGTGTACTCTGGGCTTGGGCGCTGTCCCTGTGCTCTTTAGCTTAAGGGAGTACTCTACCACTGGAGCCACAGCGCCACTTCTGATTTTCTAGTGGTTAATTGGAGATAAGAATCTCACGGACTTTCCTGCCTAGGCTGGCTTTGAACTGTGATCCTCAGATCTCAGCCTCCTGAGTAGCTAGGATTACAGGCATGAGCCACCGGCGCCCGGCTTCCACCTTTATTTTTAACATAGCTGCCAGTGGTAGGTAGGGGTCTGAGCTTGGTAGGAGGCTCATCAAATATTAGGCAGGTAAAAGTACTGATGGGATAAGCAAGGAGCAGATTTTCAAGGGACAAGTAAAATGAACCTATAGCATCTGTTGAGATACAGATTCTCAAGGACATAACCAAATCAAACACATCTTCATGCCATTGATATTGCCAGCAGCTGCCTAGTGTTCAGTGATGTCACTGCTGGAAGAGGGTTGAGACAAAAAGAGATAAATAACCCTAGAGCTGAAGGGGACAGGGAAATAGGCTGGTGACTAGAGACCAGACATGCAGCAGAGACTAAGGGAGTCCCCTGGCCTCCCAGAAAACATCTTTGTGCTAGAAATAATCAAATCCTTTCCTTCCCTTTCTTCTCTCATCCCTTTTTCTGGGACTCCAGTTGCCCATTTTCCTTTCCTTTTATTCACTAATTTTATTTAATTAACTTGTGATCGAACTGGGGTTTGAACTCAGGGTGCCCTGTTCTCGATTAGCTCAAGGCTGGCTGTCTAACACTTGAGCCACACCTCCGCTTCCGGTTCTTGCTAGTCAATTTTCAGATTTGTCTGCTGGGGCTGACCTCCAAACACGATTCTCAGATCTCAACCTCCTGAAAACCTAAGATTACAGGCGTGAGCCGCCAGCACCCCCCTTTCAGTAATTTTTTTTTAATTGAATCAAGAAGACCTGGTGCAGCTTATGGTCAATATGATCGTGTAGAAGATGCAGAGTAAAATCCAGGTGGACCGGGGCTTTCTCCCGGCCCTGCCAAGTGCTCCCCCCTTTCCCTTAGGTCACAGAAGGCAGGCGGCGCCCGGCTTGCTGCAGGGCGGATTGGGCAGGTCAGGGCAGCACCCGCTTGAGCGGTCTCCTAGCGACATGAGAGGCGGCGCAGAAACCGCCAGCCTCGGCCTGGCAGCGGTGGTGCAGCCGAGGGCACCAAGGCGGCGAGTCTCGGGTGGCGGCTGATCCAGCCCGGGAAGAGGCCCGCGATGCCTGAGGACATCAACTCCAGGCCCAGGTGAGCGCGGCACGCGCGCCACCCGGGCGCATCCCGCAGGTGCCGCGCGGGGGCGCCGGGATCCCGGGCTTGCAGGGCTGGGATGGGGCTTGTTGGCTGCCTAGGAGTCTTTCTTCCCGGCCCTCTGCGCCTGTGCGGAGATAATGAAGTGTGCTAGCCAATGCTTCACCGTCCTCCTGGCAGAGTTATCCCCAACCCTGTCCAGTGTAAGGCATCTGTGAGCACCGGGAAGTTTTGGGCTTTCAGCTGGTGGCTCTGGCCAAGCAGAACCCTCGGTGATGGTGGTGGTGATGGTGGTGGTGATGATGGTGTGTGGGTGTGTGGGGGCAGGGGGAGGGGCTGAGGTCCTGGGAATGCTGGCTGCCACTTTGAAGGGTTGCTGTCACAGACACCAGGCAGGAAGAAGGCGCTATCTCGTTTTGCTGATGGCATGATGGCTTCCTTGGAGACAGTTCAAAGGAGTGGTTGAGATGCTGAAGAATCCGGAGTTGCTGAAGTCTAGATTCAGGAAGGCCTGCGGCAAAGGCCAGGTTTCTTGGCTTGCTTGCTGACCTGAGACAATTTAGTTGTCCCTTCTGATCTCCTTAACTGTGAAATGGGGCGGATAGAATGAATCAGATTTATAGTCATTTTGAGGCCTGAAGGACATAGCCTTGTAAGCCTGTCAACAATACACAGTATGCACTATATTTATGTTAGCAATTAAGAACTCTTTAGGAGTGGGGAGCTGTTGGCTCATATCTATGATCCTAGCTACTCTGGAGGCTGAGATGTGATGATCTCAGAAGCCAGCCTAGAAAGAAAGTCTGTGAGACCCAACGCCAATAAACCAACAAAAAGCCAGAAGTAGAGCTGTGGTTCAAGTGGAAAAGTAAATCTTTAGGAGTTCTTTTGCCCCTTATTTAAAACCTTTATGTTTAGTGCTGGATGCTGTAGCTCAAGCCTGTAATCCTAGCTACTTGGGAAACTAAGATCTTAAAGATTGTGTCTGAGGCTAGCTGGGCCTAGCAGTAAGCTCCCTTCTCTAGTTCATTACTCCCTGGTTTACAATCCCAGCTCTACTGCTTCTTATTAGGAAATCTTTGATGATGTTTATTTATTTATTTATTTGCTGGTCCTGGGACATGAACTCTGGGCCTGGGCGCTGTCCTTCAGCTCTTCAGCTCAAGGCCAGCGCCCTACCACTGGAGCCACAGCACCACTTCGAGCTTTTTCTGCTTATGTGGTGCTAAGGAATCAAACCCAGGGCCTCATGCATGCAAGGCAAGCACTCTACCACTGAGCCACCTTCCCAGCCCCTGTTTATTTTATTATTGAACTTTTTTGTGCTTCAATTTTTTTAAGCTATAAACAGAAACAATACTACCAGTACCTTCTTCATAGGTGAAACTTAAATAGAATATTTAATACTTGTCAAAACTCCATCCCTTTTTGGTTCTGGTACTGGGATTTGAACTTGGGGCCTGACAGCTGTTCCTTAGCTTTTTTTCCTTCAAGGCTAATGCTCTACCACTGGAGCCACGGCTCCACTTCGGGCTTTTTTTTCTGGTTAACTGGAGATAAGAAGCTTCTAACTTTCTTGCCTGGTCTGACCTGCTTATGTAGATATGTCCTTCATGTCAAACACTTAAAGCAGTTATAAAGGAAGTTCTTCATTTATGTGAGCTATTATAATTCTTAATAAAACACCATGAGGACCAAGTGACAAATTTACCCTTATAGATAGCCCCTAGACTACCATTTTGCTACCTTTCACCTCCTGTGACCCATGTACCCCCCCCCCCTTCCCCAATGTGACTGCTATGTTGTCTTCTAGGAAGAAAGAGCACCTGCCTTCCAAGTGTTTCACATGGCACAACAGGCTGAACAGCCAGCGCTGGGTGTTTGTGAGCGAGGGGCTGGAGGACTTCAAGAAAGTTTGTCCACCACACCGAGGTCTGACCACCACTCAGGGCCCCAGGGAAGGCTTTCTGCCCCGGATTCATCACCGAACCCCCAAACCAACCCCCAAGAAAAGGCAATATGAGTGGCCCACCAAAGCAGCCCTGTTCTCCAAGGTGGCACTGGCCCCTCAGTCGCAGAAGACACTCATAGAGAATAGGGAAAGCCACCTAGCCACACATCCCCTGGCTCTCTACCCACACCTGGAGGAAGCTCTGCCTGCAGAGGTAATCCTCCCTTTGGCCTGAAGGGGGCGCTGCACTGGGCTCTGAACATCATTTTCTCTGGATGCACTGGAGACACTTGGAAGGAAAGCATGTTTATGAGGAGGAGGGATGTTCCTAGGGTGGGGGCTCTCACAGGGATGTAGGGCTGCCTTGCTTTCTCTGGCCCCAGGAAACACAGGCAGCTACATTCAGTTGCTCCATTTGCTTCCAGCGAAGCCATTGAATTGGCAAAAGTTCAGGAGCTCTTCAACCTGCTTCACAGTGTGACCTTTCAGAGCAGGAAACTGACATCAGCTGTGGGTGAGGAGGTGTCTTTGAATACTCACTAGCTGAGAGACAGAGCCGAGGGGAACCTAGAAGTCATGTGGAAAAATCTACCCAATTGTCAAGGCTAGTTCTGGCATGTCATGATGTCCTGGGCTTCTGATGCTCAGCTCCGTAGTCCTTAGTGTATGTCTCTTGTCCTTATGGCATTCTGCGGGGATAGGGACAAAAGTGACAGGGTAGGTGCCAGCACTCTCTTTCAATGAACACATTTTGGCTATCTCTGACAACAGCTCATACATTTGACCTCCACCAGCAGCCAACAAGTCTGAAATTGCATTTTGTAGTTGAGCGCTGACGCTTTGAACAAAGCTCAGGTTGCATTAGAGTTCAGGAAAAGGGCAGGAGGGAGAGAGCAGGGAATTAGCAGCCCAGCTCCACCCCAGCAGCCCGTTTGTGCTTGGTGCGGTCTTCTCTTGCGTCAGCTTTGCTCAAATGTGTCCTCCTTGCAGAAGCCTGTGTGCAGTACCACTGGCCTTCTACCTGCTCCTCTGCCTTAACATCTTCCACTTCTCATCCGGGCCCTTGTCACCTCTGCCCCCTCCCCACTGGGGCAAAAACTCTAGGAAGGAGGGGGGCTCTATGAGCACCTAACCCCAGGACTGTATGAGGCCTGAGAAATCATTTGGTACATGATGGGACAGACAAGTATGCTTCTTGAATTCAGGTAATTGAATTCAGCTGTAAATGGTTTTGAATGAATGAATGACGTGATCGGTGGCAGACAAGCTTATAGAAAAGATGGCTGGATTGCTGACCAATTGCCAGAAATCTGGGGCTTTCTTTCCTTCACATCTCCGTTAGGCCATGGCCATGATATGGCAGAGAGCAGGGACATGCATGGAGCTATGGCTTTCATTTCCATGCCCGACTTCGCAAAGCAGGAGTGCTGCTGATTTTCTTTTGAAGCAGGACCTCTGTGTGTGTGTGGTGTGGTGTGTGTGTGGTATGTGTGGTGTGTGTGATGTGTGTGTATGGTGTGTGTGTGTGTGTGTGTGGTGTGTGTATGTGTGTGTGTGCGGTGTGTGTGTGGCGTGTGTGGTATGTGGTGTGTGCGTGGTGTGTGCGTGGTGTGTGCATGTGGTGTGTGTGTGTATGTGGTGTGTGATGTGCGTGTATGGTGTGTGGTGTGTGTGTGATGTGTGTATGTGTGTGTGTGTGGTGTGTGTGTGGTGTGTGCATGTGGTGTGTGCATGTGGTGTGTGTGTGTGGTGTGTGTGTATGTGGTGAGTGATGTGTGTGTATGGTGTGTGGTGTGTGTGTGTGGTATGTGTGTGATGTGTGTATGTGTGTGTGTGGTGTGTGTGTGGTGTGT